ATTATTTTAGAAAACCTCCCCTAATTCTTATGGTATTTTTATGTTTTTATTTGTTAGCTTTTTATATTTACATCTTTGATCCCTATGTAATGGGTCTTGATTGAGATGTGAGATTTGCTTCAACTTTATTTTTCCCCCATTGGTTGTTCTAACACCACACTTTATTTAGTGATTTGTTTTTCCTCATTGTTTTAGGGTATCACCATTATTACATACTATCTTCATATATGTTTTAAGTCCATTTTTATTCCATACACACACACACACACACACACACACTTGCTGCCAGTAAATTTTAATCATTAACCTCAATATATCTTAATATTTAAAGAATTGATTTCCTCCTCCTCAGTATATGATGTTTTTTTTATGTTGATGCCATAATTTGTTTCCCATTTATATTGGGAAAACATATATTCATATGATAACATCTTGTTTTTCTCCTGTTACTCATAGATTACCTGCCCCATGTATAATATTACCAAGTTGGTAAATTCTAAAATAATGAAACACGAGTTCAGCTCAGATTGAGGGGGCAGGCTTCCCACAATTATGAATGAATGTGTTTTGCTTGTCAAATTGGAGAGGCCATCCTTAGAGAAAGAATCCTGAGCAGTATATCCTCAGTGTCCACTTGGACCTGGGAGGTGGGGGGAGTGCTGCGGGAATAACATAGGCATGTCTTTAAAACCTCGTAGCATGCACATGTTGAAATTAATGGAGGAGAGATGTGATTTCAGAAGTCCTATGTTTTCACAGTCTGGGTAGACTGTAGTTTCTTAACGTGCGAGAAATGGAACTTCTGGAAGTTAAACCAGTGAAGGAAAGTGCATGATTGTTCCTTCTCCTGGGCTGACCATAGTTGTATGGAAATGAATTTTAAAGGTCTTTTCTTTGCAACGAAGTTCTTGGCAAGAAATAAAATCTGTATAATGCATTACCTCTGAGTTTTGCTTAAAGAGCTCAAGGATAGACATATGGATAATAGTTTAAAATATAAATATGGTCTTTCCAGTCATAGAAACCTTCTGATCCAAGAGGTACTTTTCCTGTTCTCCAAAAAATATACAGCTGTAGACATACCCATAAAGCACCAAGACAAAAATACATGGTATTTGACTCTTAAAAAAAAAGGAAAAAGAAAAAGAAAAAAAGCCACTGGACTTTTTTTGGAGTACTGCAGCCCTGTGATCAGACAGAGTGACTTGAAGTCAAATCCAGATGCCAAGTTGCTGTGTCACCTTCTAGCCACTAAACCCTGTAACTAAGCATTTTTGTTTGGTAAAATTACAGAAGAGATGCCCTTTGGTAAGATATTTTGTTCTATTTTAGTACCTATAGTTTGTCTAGGAAAATGGCTGTCACTGGGTTTTCTCATACTTATCCCATTTGTCTGTTTGTGTATGAGCTGGGGGAGAAGTGCATACTTACAGTGTCAGTCTAGAAGCAATTATCTACCCCCACCCCAGTATACACTGTCGTGATTTCTAAGTGTTCCTTTACTGAGTCCACACTAGGGGAGGTTTGATACTTTCTGGTTTGTGGACACATATAGGTTGGCAGTGTGGAATTTATGAAGGCTCCATTGGAAAAGGTCATTGCTAATATAACATTAGTTTTGAAAATAGTTATATCCAGACAGATCTGCAGACATCTTTTACCTAAATGCAACTGTGAATTGGCTCAATCTTATCAGGAGGAGACTTACAGACCATAATATAAGGGTTGCAAATATAAGTTGCACAGTTGAACTCGTCATAAATGGTTTAAGTAGTGCAGTGATAGGGTCTATGTCAGATGTCATTTATGGAAATAATTATGGTTTTATGAAATGGAAAAGGTGAAATACTTGCTAAATTTCCCTGGTCAAATGCGAGTCCTTCAAAGGAAAAGGCAATTCATACTCATTTCTATATTCCCAGTACTGTGCCTGGCAAGTAATGCTTATTAAATGAATGAATTATTATAGAAAGATTGTTTGAAATGAAGAGGTTAAAAATGTTTCCTGGAAATAGATTATGTACATGAATTCTCCTACTTGCTGCTCTGCTTTAAGAAGGATACCTTAAATGGGGATGGAACCCAGGGGTGCTTAACCACTGAGGCACATCCCCAGTCCTTTTTATATTTTATTTTGCGACAGAGTCTTGCTAAACTGCATAAAGCCTAACTTGCTGAGGCTGGCTTTGAACTTTCAACCCTCCTGTCTCAGCCTCCCTAGCTGCTAGGATTGAAGGCATGCACCACTGCCCCTGGCACATCAGTATTTCTTCAGAACTCCTAGGTGTCATTGTTGAGAGTCAATGAATTATAAGAGACTCTTTCACAGAGAAATCTAAAGATCAAAACTGTTTAAGAGATGTAGCTCACTAGTAGAGTGCTTGCCCAGCATGTACAAGGCCCTGGGTTCAACTGCCAGCACCACCATCACCTCAAAAAAAAAAAAAAAAAAAAAAGAAGGTGTTTTTTAATTGTTCATGAGACAGGGAAAAAGTGTCCCAACAATCAGGTTCAGAAGTAAGCTGCTTTCCTTATTAATTTATGAGTAATTTTTACATATTATGAACATACGCCTTTTATGGTACAAATATTTTCTTCACTTTTTTGGCTTTTGCACAGGATGTTTCTTTTACATACACATTTTTTTTTTTTTACTTTTATGCAGTGAAATCTTTCAATCTATTAATCTAGTTTTGTCTTCTTGTAGTTTCTCTTATTTATTTTTGCCTTAAAGGCTGACAGCAACTACCCCCCCCCCCCCCCATAAAAAGGACTTTCTGACATGTTGTTAACTAAACTAGTGAATAAAAATAAAACACTTAAACACACACACACACACACACACACAAGAAGGATACCTTAGTAATTCTTCTTCTCTAGCATATTAGTCAGCTTTGTGTTGCTATGACCAAAACATCTGACAAAAACAACTTAAAGCAGGAAGGATTTATTTTTTATCACCATTTCAGAGAATTCAGTCCATAGGCAGCTGGCTCCAAGGCAGCCATTATGGTGGAAGGGAACTTCAGAGGAAGGCTGCTCCACTCAAGGGAGTGGGGAAGGAGAGGGAGAGGGGGAGGGCAGCATGTCCCTAGTGACCTACTTCCTCCAGCCACACCCTACCTACCTAGAATTACCACCCTCTAGAGTAATCCTTTCAAATGATGAGTCCATCAAATGGATTAATCCCCTAATTAGGTTCCAAGTCTCATAATCTAATCATTTAATCTCTGAACTTTCTTACATTGTTTCACACATGACCTTTTGGGGGATACGTTATATTGAAACCATAACATTGAGCAATCCTTCCAATCAAGAGATGTTTTGAAATCTTTCCTGGATGGGTGAATGTGGAATTACAGCTGTTGATTACAAAGCCTCCTCTCCCTCAATTTTGAATTCCTTGTGGAGAGGAAGGATAAATGGTTGAATAGAATATTTTAGAGCACTGTGACTAAGTCAGCTATCAGTAGAAGAGATAATACAAATGAACATTTAATAACAAATTGAGGAATTCCACCAGGGCTTATACTGCATCTGAGGTGTTCCTTTGAATCTATGTGGTGCTTACTCTTGTATTGTCATAATGAGGACTTGTTTTTAAATATACTCCCAAATATATACCACTACAAATAGATTATATATCCTGTATTAAACACATTCCCCTGTTAATTTACTTAAACAAAAGTTATGGCTAAATATTAAGACTTTTCTCAAATGTAGCAGGTTTGAATTTTAGAACTGGCTAGGAGCTTATCATTCAGGAAATCGTGTTTCTGCTAGAGTCAGGACTAGGGTTTGTTTTTCTAATTCCCCAAATAGTGATTTTCCACCACACTGTGTTACTGAAGGCTGTTTTTTTGTTTTTTAAATGTGTGATCTTGGGGCATTTGGTTCCAGGACTTTTTTTTTTTTTTTTCTCAAGAGCATCGTATTTGGGTTCATTTTGAGAAAAGCATGTATGAATGGAATTTGATTCCAGTCTCCCATTCCCCCACTTTGTCTGTCCTCTCCTTCCTCCTCATACTCTCTTTCCTCTACTTTACTGATCTTCATTTCGCTCATTTATTTATTTATTTCTGATTGATTCTTTATAAATACACAAAGGTCATATATTTCATATATACATGAAATTCCCTTTGGTACATTTATATATGCACATCCCATGATTTTGTTAAGTTCATTCCACATTTTCTATCCATTCCTGCCCAGGATATTTAAAATTTTATGTATGATCTCAAATTTAAAAATTTGATATCAGTATAGGTCAGAGACATGTGACCTATACTTATATAGGATAAGTTCAACTTGGTTTTGTATGTAAAATTTTACTGGAACACAGTCCAATTCCTTTGTGTCTTATCTACAGTACTACAGTGGCATTAGAGACCATATGACCTGCAAAGCGTAGAATATTTAGTATTTGAACCTTTATAGAAAAAGTTTGCCAACTCAGTATAAAGTTAATAATGGAAAAATACCTTTAAAAAGTTAAACAGGCACATGCCTATAATCTCAGGAACTCAGGAGGCTGAGGCAGGAGGATTTTGAGTTGAAAGCCAGCTTCAGCAATGGCGAGGCAGTAAGCAACTCAGTGAGATCCTGCCTATAAATAAAATAAAAAAATGGGGCTGGGGATGGGGCTCAGTGGTTAAGTGCCCCTGAATTCAATCCCCAGTACCCCTCCCCCCCCAAAAAAAGTTAACACTGTCATTTCATTGTGAGTCATGTGCTTTCTGAAAAAGTTAGACGTCTGGCTTCTTTTTGAGATTTTTAAATGATCTGTCTATAAAAGACTAAAATGCCTGCTTGCATTAAAAATGAATAAGAGCTGGGTTTGTGGGGAATTGTTGTGCTCTTGGACGCAGGAATCTAGTTGCCATGATGAAGCCTGTGACCTTGACATCATTGACTGTAGACAGGAAATGCCTCAGCCTGTCACTTCTGTTTTGCTAACTGCAAGGTTACCTGAACTCACCAAATGCCCTTCTTCTTGGCAGGTGGAGTGGATTCAACAACAAGTCGTGAAAAAACGAACAAAGAGGGACTATGACCTCAGCCGTGCCCAGTCTACCTATTTCAATGATCCCAAGTGGCCAAGCATGTGGTATATGGTAAGCCCTAAGGAAGTCTGGCCTGGGGCCATGTCATCCAGTTTTGTGTTGTATGGGGAAAATCTCTTGGCATTGGGCAAACAAAGAAATAGTGATCAGGGGCTTATTCCTGTTTTAAGACTCACCATATGAGATTGGTTAATGGCATAGGATGTTTTCTGAATCTTTTTTTGAACTTAACCCTTGCTTTAAGGAGAAATAGAAGAGATTTCCAATTCATAGAAATTGTGTTTGAAAGTACCATTTATGTAGTGAGTTTCTGTTTGGACCTGAGGACAGAAAAATTCTAAGGTACCTTAGTACCTATCTATAATTGTGTTCATTTCTTAAACAGATTTAGTCCTCCTTGAAACCAGTGTGGTTAATGGCTACTGGTGCTTGGAAATCACTGAAATGACTCTGCTATCAAGAATCCTTGCTTAATATCATTTAATGTGTGTTCTATCCCTATAGGTACTAGTATTTAAAACTCGACCTTGAGAAAAGATAGTTGGAAAGAGTTTTTTTTTTTTTAATTTTTTTGCTTCTTTTTAGTTGTATATGACAGTAGAATCCATTATGATATAATGATAGAAGCATGGAATATATCTTATTCTAATTAGAACCCCAGTCTTGTTGATGGACACAATGGTAAGATTCGCTATGGCATATTCATATATGTACATTTAAAAGTTATATCATATTCTTTCCACTGTCTTTCCTATTCTTATCCCCTCTCCTTTCCCTTCATTCCCCATGTCTAATCCACTGAACTTCTGTTCCTGCTCCCTTTATTGTGAGGGTTAGTATCCACATATCAGAGAAAAGATTCAGCCTTTGGAAAGTGTTTGACTTGTAACTAGTTCAGTGGTTTAAGTAAAAAAAGTTTCCCTTAGGGAAACTTGCTTAACATGCTTCACATTGCTGCCTTTGAATAGTATATACTTATCTAGTCTTAAGAGTTTTTAGCTTCATAATTATTAAGAAATGGGTTTAAATGCATTTCATTATTATTATTATTATTATTATTAGCACTCAGGATTGAACCCAGGGGGACTTTACCACTGAGCTACATCCGCAGCCCTTTTTATTTTTTACTTTGAGATAATGTCTCATTAAATTGCTGAGGCTGAATTCAAACTTGAGATCCTCTTGTCTCAGCCTCCTGAGACATTGGGATTATAGGCATGCGCTGCCATGCCCAGCCTATTACTTAATCATCAAATTCAAATGTCATCAAGTTGTTCCGTAATCTATAAAAAGCCCTCTACTTTTTACTTTTCTCTTGAAAATATATATATTGCTAAACATTGCAGAGTATTTTCCACTTTTTTTTTTTTTAAATAAACCCTATCCCTCATTCTGTACAAAATGTCTCCAAACTGATGAATGGACCTGAAATAGCATTTTCCTTTCTTACCTCGTGCTTTCCTGGATTCTGGCCTTCCATTCCTTCTTCCCCATGGTGCTCTCCCTGCCCTTCCCCACCTCCTTGGGTCAGGATCCTCCCACCTTTTCGAGACCACACCCAAGACCAACTCCTTCCCCAGATCTCCCTGTGTCCTCATCTGTCATCATTTTCCCTTCCTTGGGGTAATGGGCCATCCATTCCCGCTCCTCTGGGAATTCATCACTTGGCACTTTGTATTCTGCTTACTACTACTGGTTTTCAATCGCTTCTGCTAGATCACAGGGGTCCTTTGAGGTCAGGCTCTACGTTTTGATCCTTCTTTATATGCCCCCGAAAACCTAACAACCCTTGCAATGCTGGGTGTTTGTGCTTATTTTGAAGTGGGGGAATGTGACTGGTATTTTTCTCAAATACCCTTTTCCTGGTCTTAGAAGAAAGTGGAAAGTTGTGGAACTATTTTAGACTCCAAACAGTTTTATACAGAAAGCTCTATCATGTCTAAGGGGGGAAAAGAAAGGAGTCATAAAGGTAAGTTCAAAGGGAGGTGGGAATTGAGACATCATTTGATAGGAGTCACCTGAGGGGATGATAAAACACATGACAGCTTATTTGCTCTAACCAAAGAGAAGTGAACCACACGGGAAGGCTTAGAGCAAGTGTTGTCAGGAGCTAAGGAGCTTTGTCTGCACTGACAAAATAATAAGAATGCAGTGGTATTAGGAAATAAGTTGGAGGCTGAGGTTCCTCTGCACCTGTTTATATGACCAGGATGAGGGAGACCTTCCTTACTTCGGTTGCTGTCTGCATGTGCCCCCTGGATGGTGGGATTGCTGGTACCTATTCTAGATCCCCTTCATTATGTTAGCAGGGCAGGCTGAACTCTAGGAGCAGTCCTGGCCAAGACGTAGTGCCTTGGTTAGCCTGGTGACTAAAAGGTTCCAGTGTCTGCCTCCCAGAGTTTCATTGGAACATCTCTTTTGACATGTGGAAAGGATGAGAGAAGAGCTTTCACTGAGTTGTTTAAAATATTGGATGTTTTTCAATGCCTATTTGAATATAATAATTCAAATAGATAACAAATACTGGACACTTATTATGTTCTAGGCAAGGTACTAAGTACCTTATGTGCTTATGTGCTTAGTACATTGCCTAGAAATGCAATTAATTAATGCAAGCAAATTCGTGCATTAATATTGGCCCTGTTACAAGAATGGGAAATCTAAGGCTCATGAGGTTTATGTAACTTACCTAATATCTCCTGATCTGGAAGTGGTAGAGCTGAGATGCCAGAGCAGGGACATTGATGCCAAAGTCTGCTGGATGACACAGCATCCTATGCCTTTTCTACTGTGTACTAGCCCTGTGACGCAGACGTTAGTCCTGCCCATCAGGAACTCCTACTCTATCCACAATGAAGTTACTAAAATATAAGGCAGAATCGTAGGCACCATAAAAGATGAATACAGTGTCTTGAGGACAATCAAAGGACCTTTAAGATTTCCATTAAATGATTAATTTTCCCTTAACAAAAAGGAATGGGGCTAGATATGGTGGTGTATGTCTCTGATTCCAGTTACTTGAGATGCTGAGGCAGGAGAATCACGAGCTCAAGGCCAGCACAGGCACCTTAGTGAGTCTCTGTCCCAAAATTTAAAAAAAGAAAAAATAATGGCCAGGGGTATAGCTTAGTGTGAAAGGGGACTACACAAGGGTATGTATACAAGGAAGGAAGGAGCCCTCTTAGATGCTGGCTACCACAGCAAAATGAAAATTTACATGAGAAACCTTTAGCACATTGCCTGACGCTAGGATACCCTCAGTAAATCATAATTGCGGTTATTGTTATCTTTCGATGGCTTCACTGAAATACATGCTGGGTTTTTGTCAGGGGGGTACTAGAGATGGAACCCAGGGCTTTGCTTATGCTAGACAAGAGCTCTGTTACTGAGCTACACCCCTAGACTTTTTAAAAAGTTTTATTTTGAGACAGGATCTGAGTAAATTGCCCAGATTGACTTTAAACTTGCAATCCTCCTGCTTCAGCCTTGTGAGTAGCTGGGTTTACAGGTGTGCACCATCACACCAGCCCATCTGTTATGTTTTTATTTGTTCTTTTAATCGCTACTAGTCAAAGATGTGTGAGAGCCCATGACCAGTGGTCATCTTTGGAGCATTCTTTGGTGACACATTAGTGACATAGCTGAGCCATAGTTTTCCTTTCCTCCTTCTTCCTTTCTCTGAGCCCTGGGACCTGCTGCAATTTCTGAGGGCTACTTGGCGAGCGTCCATAGGGTCCTGCCTCCAACTCATGAGCCTGGGCCTGTTCCTGTCTTTCTGTATTTATCACAGGGGAATGGAGATTAAGGAACGGCATGAAGAGTGCTTGAGTGTCTCTTTTAATTAATTTAAAATCTTTGCCCGTATAACACCTGCCCTTGGAAACCGGTGTGCAAAACCATTATGTGCAGCCTTGAGGTTTGGGCAATATATTCAGGGAAATGTACATTATGAGAGTTTGTTATAGACATGATGGCTGTGTAATTGTTCCTCTGCCCTGGCATATGGTGCTCCAGGAGTTAGAGGGCCCTGTCCTAGAAGTACAACTCATTTATTCTTGTGCCTATAAGCTACTTCCTCATCTGTCCTTTGTCAGGCAAGACACCAGCACTGGGGGTTTCAAAAGACAAGTGATTCATGCCTCCTGAGATCCGTAAAGCAGAGAAGGAGTAGGTAAAGCCTCAGAGAAAGCTTGATAGTCAAGCAGCTTTTCCCCCAAATCTTTTCCCAGAATCATGTGCCTACTTCCAGCTACTGGTGTTTGGGCATTGGCTGTAGTTTTTGTTTGCAGGTTGGTTCTTTCTGTTTTGGTATAGAATTTCATCAGAACTGTGTGGGTGATTTTAATGTCAGTATATGGCAAATATTCAATAAATGCTAATTTCATAAATGGATGAGCAAATCTGTGACCACCTCCATAGTAGAAAAAAATAATTGCTCACATTTAATGAGTGCTCAGTATGTGTGAGGTGTGTTGCCAGACTCCATCATGTAGTGTCTTACTACCAGTGTCCAGTGAGTCAGGAATTACTGTCTTCATTTTATAGATGAGGACATTAAAGCATATTAAAGTTAAGTTACCTGCCCAAGATCACACCAAGGGCATACCCTGGTGTTCAAACTCGTTCACTCTGTATTTAGAGACCTTGGATTCTAACTTCTACATCTGTGGTTTTTGAACTCCAGGCATCAGAATCACCTGGAGAGCTTCTTAAAATAGATTACTATCCACCCTCATCTTACCCCCAGCACTGAGTCTATACTCTGCATTTCTAACAAGTTCCCCTTGAGCCAATGCTGGGGTCCAGGAACCCCTTTGAGAATCCACTACTGTGCCACATTTTAAACACAAGGTTATGTGAGCACAGTATGCTCCTATCTCCCAATTATCAATTGGGAGAAGAAGAGCTTTTAAACTTATGGAACATTTGGTCAATTTAACTTTTTCTTGGCCTTATATCTTTTTCTTGCTCATAACATTTTCTACTTGGGAAGCTGGCAGCTTTAATATGAGGAGATGTTTTCACTTTTCTTGCACTGATTGAAAATACCC